CGGTGCCGTAGAACTCGGTGCGACTTGTGAGATTCTGATGTGTGTCAACAAAAGGCCAATCACTTGGAGTTAGTGACAGTGAGCTACCTTTTCTGCAGAGTCTCGTTCATCCGAGCAGGAGAGATCTTTGTTGTCTCTAGCCGGGTTGCTAAAGGTCAAGTTTCGGAGTTGGTTGCGTTGATGGAATACATGGTAGCCGACGGCAAAGTAAATGACACAAGAGCCGAAGATGCAGCACCAAATAGGTATGTAGTAGGTGTAAATGCGAAGGACGCTCCATTTGTTGTTGATCCAGCACCAAAGCTGAGCCACGTTAGACATGCCCTTTGATCTCGAGGAACCTGGACTTACTGTGGAATCGCCGTAGATCAAGTCGTCTGGCCCGTCGGGCCTGAGAAGAAGAAGAGAGAGAGCAGGAATCAAAGGAATGCCAAAACAGACAAGACAGTAAACCCAGAGGTGTTTGCGGAATGAAGAAGGGTTTGCGCCGGCGAAGAAAACAAGGAAGACGTTGATGGCCATAGCAAAAGACCACCAAGGATCCGATTGCATGAACCTGTGGAAGTGGGTGTTAGTGGTGACAACGCGAGGGAATGTTGTGAGGGCAAACCAACATTTCAAGCAGGAAACCCTGAAGCTGGCACAAGGCGGAGGTTTCGCCGGCACGAAGGCCGTCGTACCCCATTGCACAGGCAACACTTGCACCAACGTTCGCGATTGAAGCCATAAGGATGAAGAGATTGGGGACTGTCCGAAGACGCTTGAAGGCGTAGTAGGTGATGAATATCAAGGTGACGCCGACCAATGACAACGAAGCCCCGACTCTTTCGAGGGCGATGACGATGTCGATTTGCTCTTGGGATAGGGAATCCGAAGTCGCCCTTGCGACGGGAGCGCCGTGGCTGTCTCCCATACTCGTTGGTCGGCTCAATATGGAGGTTGGGCTTGGACCTTTGATGAGTGTGAGATGGTCGGAACGAGTTGACGAGTCGACGAGTCGCCTGTGTGAAGTGGTCAGCATGGGAGTCTTTTCTGTCCTCCACGCCAGGACGCATAATGAGCAGAGCGGCAGGCGTACTTGGAACCGGATGCTGGAGGCTGAAATGCAAGCCGGATGGTCGCGACTCGAGGGTTCCTGATGTATGCCGGATAGGGCCGAAACACGAGGGAAAGAAGAAAGTAATGACAGTTGTGGTACAGGAAACACGGGCGGAACAAAGAACTTGGACACTTTGGATGGACAGGCCACGGAGAGGTGTGTTGAAACGAAGTGGCAGGCCTCGATGGCTCGGAGCCCGAGCGAGATGCCGTGTTGCTGGACGGCAGCTTTGTGCGACGATCCACTGGCCACTGCAACGCAAAGTAGGGAGAAGCGTGAGTAGGAGCGCGCTGTTGATCTTTGGCTTCGAGCTGGTCGAGGAACGAGCGGTCGAAATAAGATCGACAGGTGGTAGGCGAGGCCGTGTATTAATCTCAGGCAGCCCAGGCTGGTAGCCACATGGGATCGAGCAGCTGCATGACAGACCGTGGTGCTGGATAGAGGCCAAGTGCGGCGCGGTTACACGGCCGAGAAGGTGTGAAGCAGACGTTGCATGGGTCGTGATGGTGGAGGAGGGTTCGTCTGGAGTGTGGTGGTGGTGGAGGAGGACGTGGAGGAGAAGTAGAAAGACGGTTGCGAGAAAGTACAGGAGGCTGCAAGCAGATGAAGACGGCAAGGAAGAAGAGGAAGGTGCCGGGGCTTCGGATATTCAAGAGCAGTGCACTTTCGGAATTGGGTACTGGCGCTGGCAACAATCTGGGGTTGAAAATGGTAAGGCCTAGATTTCAACACGAGGAGGCAACGGCCGAATGATGCTTGCTATGTAAATGGGAGGAAGCAGCTGGCCAGGGGCAGGCACCAGGAGGCAACGGCCAAGAGATGAAGTCGAAATAGGACACTGTGGACCATGAGGGAAGGAGCGGGCAGGTGGGCTGGTGGAGACGGGACGAGGGGAGGCAGGCGGTGCCATGGGATGGGGAAGGAGAGGGGCGGAGAGGCGCAACTGCCACCTCAAGATGTTAAGGCTGGGTGCGAATATCGCGGGGAGGGAAGGAAGGAAGGAGGGACGGTGGTTGTTGCTCGAGTCTCCGACTCGAGGGAAAGACCTGGTGGACCGCGACTGTCACAGGCCGGGAAGGAAGGACGAAGAGGGGGGAAAGGGCCTTGGAAAAGGCGGCACAGCAGTCACGCAGGAGAACCAATACTGGACAAGGAAAGAAAGGCAAGGTATCTCAAGCATCACAGCCGCACTGTAAGGCGAGTCTGGTCAGATATTTGGGTTGTTGCATCTGCAGATCCCATGCATGGCCTGTCTGGGGGTGCTCGGCAGGGCTGGGCGATGGTTGTTGGCTGGCCCTTGGCCCTTGGTCCTTGACGAGCAGAATGAACAAACAAACACCGTGGCTGACTGAAGGGAAATGGCTGTGGAACTGCACTCGATAAAAATAAAGGATGGGCAAGGCACTCCCCATTGACAGTATGTAGGTCATAGAAGGCAGCCGAATTCCTCCATGTCAATCCAGACGAGATGAATATCCCCATCAGACAAGCAACAGAGCATCAGACGGAGAAGTCGCACTTCGTCTGATTGCTGACGGGACCTTTCCCGTTTCCTCGGATGACGATGATGACGGCGGGGGCCGTGAAGGCGGGAGGCAGGAACCGGGCAACATCTTCCGCACTTTGGGGAAGGACGGGACCTGAGGTGAGGAGGAGAAGGAGGAGTTGCTACTTCCTCATGAAGCACAATCATTGGACTGGACTTGGAAAGATACCTGGGGTGGGGGTCAAAGAATGGTCGTGGAAGGGAAGGAGCAGTTGAATGCAACCGACAGACGTGACTGCAGGAGGGAGAAGCCAAAGGGCAGGGCAGGGCAGGGGCGTCACACAACAAGTGGAAGCTGCTCCGTTTGGCCTGCCTCTTGCCTCGATCGTTCGGTATGCCTCCAGCTTTGCCTTTCTCCGGACTGCCTCACTTGAAGCGCCACAATACTGGAGGTGAGGTGAAGTGTGGTGTGCCTCCATGACCATCATCCAATGAACAGTTTGCGCTGACCGCCAGTTCCAAGACTTCCCTCTCTCTCCGGTCATCATCATGGCTGAGGTGTTGCCGCATTCCTGATGCTCCTTTCCATCTTGCATCTCAACGACGCAACCCGCCGCTTTGTCGGTCAGATTGAAGGTGTAAGGCCGACACGAGGACCTCCAAGACAGATGGAGCAGCAAAAATGCGAAGGGGATTCGACCCATCGTCAACGATCGACCCGCCCCGATAATCGAGATGCAGACGACGTGGACCCTGGAGCAAAAGAAACATGCACCGATCGACCCCCTACCTAGCGGTGTCGACATCCCCGGGACCCCAGAATCCCCGTCTCCTTGTCTCGCCAGCTGTCGCGGCTGCCAAGCACATAAGTCTCCTGCGAAATGAGAACTGAGAGCCTGGCAGATGCGATGCACCCCACTACCGTTGCAAGCCTCCAACGTGGTGGCTAAGGCTGCATTGTCTTGCCTTGCTTGTACTGTGCACCAAATGGGACGGCGTGGAGATGAAGGATGCGATGGACCAGGGCGGGAAACGACCATCCACTGCCCAACAAAAGACAACACCAGCAAACTGGCTGCCGCCACCAAGCCGCGGCGACAGCATCTGATCCGCGGAGAATCTGGAGAAAAGTGAGAAGGCGGCACAGCGGCACAAGCAAACACATAGCGAGTCCCTCCAACAGGCCCGGCGCCAAATCCGTAATGCTGCTTGTCACGCTGCATCTGCGAATCACATTCGTCCTTTTCGCTGTTTGCCCCCTCCAACTAATCCAACACCATTTTTGCCAGCTCAAAATTCAAACCCAAAAAGAAGAAGCCGGTACCGTACCAACTGAATCCTCGGGAAGTCTCCAAACGATTCTCAGAACCGCAGGAAATGCCCCCTTGGCTGTCGGGTATCATCGAATCAATTCGTCGTCAACAGACTGACATTTCCGTGTCTCGTTCTTGCCCTCGGGCCAATTTCAATGTCATCGCTCGGAAACACTATGTCGTGGCACGCATACGAGGAGCGAACCAATCGACGCAGCGCACCGTGAGCTTTGCGAATGCAGGCAGCCTAGGTGCAGCTCGTCAGGCCGGCCAATGAGGAGCACCTATGAATTCGGCCGTAGAAATGTGTGAGGCAAGCAGGGTTATCACGTCGAGACGAGCAAGCCCTGACGCCTCGATTTTAGAACAAGGGAAACATCTGCTTTGATCGAGGCGTTCGCGCCATGTAGAGCTGCAATCGGTCTGAAGAAGAAATCGGACTCGATATCAAGTTCATTGTCGGATGCCGTGCCGAAGCAAACACCAGGATCATTCACGACAAGACCTTGTCTTGTTCATGTTTGGATCCGAGATCCCAAATGTCCACGAATACCCATTCAAAGATCACCATGCAGGCAAGCAAACACCATGGTCCACGTCTTCGCAACCAACAACCCACCAATCATCGTAATCGGAGTTGTCAGTCCCTTGGACGTCGAACAAGGTCTCCCCAGATCCAGAACCAATCTCACGCCACATCCCCAACTCCATCGAACGGGCCACCGAGCGGTGTTTGCTGTCAGGGGGTTACGGCCGCAACTCGACCAACAGATCCCTCAACTGTTGCCTATTTCGTCGCAACCAATGTGTGCTCATCTCGGTCTGTCACATTACTTGATCACATCTTTCCTCTTTCCACCACGTTGTTTGCACGGGGCTGCAGCCGACCAACTCAAGAACAGCATCCTAGCAGAAGCCACTGCCACCGATGCGCATTCAAGGAGCCGAGTATCTCTCAGTGTCAATCAACACCTGGCACCGTTTACCAGGTCTTAGTCGGTTAGCAAGTTAAGCAATGGTGAGATAATGAGTGATTCCAGATTAACTACTGGAGAAAGATCGGCAATTCACAGTCCTTGATCTCTGAGGAGAAACAGCTTGTCTATTCAACTATGGTCGAGCGAAAGATTTGCTGGAACCATTCATCAAAATCCTCAGAGGGATTCGCAGACATGGCAAAATGCTCCTCCGCGACATCAAACTGCCCAAGACTAGCCGCCGTAGAATCAAGCACAAACCAATCCGTCTTGAATCTAGCCGCGATCTCCTCAAAGTTGATCGCATCAGGCCGCGCAGCAAGCGTTCGGTCCGAGAACGACTCCATGCCTCCCACCTCGGAAAAGATAGCATCAATCAGCACCACCCCGCGGTGCGCTAGAACATCATTTGTCGTTCGGCCCAGGAGATGCTCTCGCGCATCGCGGATGGCGTCGAGGTACCCTTCCTGCCGGGCGTCTCGTTCCTTGCTCTGGTCGCAGATGACTTCGAAGGAGAGGATGATGGCGGCGGTGATGCTGAATGCGACGTGTGTCCAGAGGGAGACCTCGCCTGACTCCACGATGCTTTTGTGTTCGCGGAGGATGGTCACTGCTGCTGCGACGCAGGTGCGGCGCGTGTGGACGTAGGCTTCTGATTGGAATGAGAGGAAGAGGAACGGTCTATGTATCATGACAATCTTTGTTGGATTTTGGTTAGCCTCCGGTTCAATACCTTTTGGAAAATTTGATGATCCAAACCTTTTCAGCTGCGGTGATGGCGAGACTCTGCCGCGCAACGCCAAGCCACGCGCACTCGCCCTCCAGCACCTCGTCCTTCTGAAGAAGAAAACGCGGTATCGACTGCACCTGCTCCCTCATCTTCTGGTCCATCCTCAGGACGTGGGCATACTGCTCCCTCGCCGGCTTCTGCGCCCTCAACGGCCCCATGCCGTCCGCCAGCTCCGGCATCAGCCGCGCGATGCCGCCCAACACACGAGTATACGTGCTCACTGTCAGCGTCGTCTCCGGCGCATCGACCAATTCCACGTCGTTGGCATTCCTGGGGAGGGAGGTCGAGTATTGGGCGGGGTTTATGCCATACGAGTCGGTGAAGGGGATCGCAAAGTGGTCTTGAATGACCATCTGAAGCCACACCCTTCGCCCGACCTCTCTCTGCAGGGTATCTTCCCATATCTCCTCTGGTGTCTGCAAGTCGAGGCTGCTGCCGTCTGTGATCTTGTGTATGCCCAGGCACTCGGCCATCCGGATCGCAGCGCTGAACAGGGTGGCGTTCAGCTGGCTCAGGCCCAGATTGTGAGCCACTTCAGTCGAGATGACGATGGCCTGAACAGAGTAGAGCGACACGTTCTGAAGGAAGTGCGCCTGGTAGAGTGTGTCGACCATGAAGTTGAACAACTCCAGCGGTGAACACCCCGGTAGGGTAAGTGGGAACGCGTCGCGGTGCTTCCAGCTGTTTTGCCAGCTCAGGAGCGACGCGGCGAGCACTGCGCTATAGAGCGCGAGCCACGTCGGCTGGTCATATGCGCCGGTGTCCCAGAAGGCGGTGCACTGCTGCAGGAAGGTTGGGCAGTGCAGGGAATTGTGGTGCCATGCGATGTGCTCCAGGTGGAATGAGATGAGGACCTCGGCTGTGCTTTGCTCGAGGAGGAGAGTGAGGGATGGGATGGGGTAGGCGGGTGATCCGGACAGATGTGTAGTTGAGGATGTGCTGGTGAGGTTCCGCCTTTGGTGGCAGGTGCAGTGTAAGTGAGGGTAACAGTTTCCGTAGCGTCTGCCCCAGGCCATGTGCTCCAACGCAGTGACTGTGAGCGAGCTGCGGGCTTTAGAATGGGAGGTTTCTGTGTCGTCCTGCGCTGAATCGTCATCTCGGGCAGCACTCTCAGACTCGATGAGATGTGTTGTTGTCTGGGGAGTGACCTCAGTGGCTTGTCCCGGACTAGAACTTAGAGTATCCAGTCTAGCAGCCACAAGATCGGCCGCCCTCCTAACCGTAGTGACGGGGTCGGTGGTGCTCTGAAGAGTGTTGCGCAGAGTCTCGAGGAACCCAATCTCGGCACCGTGGCGAACTGCGTCGCGCCTCAGATGGATGACTTCACGCTCGCAGTGGAGGCCAAGACGGTTGCATCTCGCGCAGGGGATCTCTTTGTTGCACTTTCTCTTCTTTCTTGTACACTCTGAGTGGTCATCCCTATGTTAGTCAAGGGTTCTGAGTTAACTTGGCTGGGGGTGAGAAACTGACCGCGACACGCAAGAGATTGGCGCTGTGACAAGCGGGCTGACATTATTTGAGACTCAACCAGCAGTGAATAAGCATAAAATGATAGGGCTGTATTGCTTTTGGTGCACGAGTTACTGATCACCAGATTGGTTCCCGCAGAGTGAAGTCCGAGAAGTTTGGGGAACTCAGATATGCTTAGCTGAAAAGAACCTATCTCAATTACATAATCGAGCTAGTTCTTTACGCTAAACGGACAAGAAAGAATTAGAGACATCTTACTGGACAAATTGAAGGGTGCCCTTTCATGCTAAAAAGTGTTCATAAACTATATAGAAGTAACTAATCACTATGGCGATATGGCGGGCGCGTATCAAAGTCTTAATATGTTTGATCTCAATATTAACTATAGACGCCGCGAACCTACTAGTTACGTTTACTAGGGGTGCCCCTTTTCTCCGATAGGGACTGAGGATTTTGAAGTCTAGTTTCACCAGATAGATACCATGTTGTGATCCACATTCGGACTATCAGTATCGCTATCCTGCCGCTCACGCCGCCTTAGTGAACCCAGTCTCGACAACCCCCGGCACTTTCCTAAACGGTTGCGGCGCCGTGCCGCTCGTCATCGTACACTGCCACATCAGTCTCTTCTTCTCCTCGTCCTCCTTATACTGCGACAGCTGCCCCGTGATGCTGTGCATCACGCCGCGGTTGTGGAAAATCACGACGTCGCCCTCCTCCCAGCGGTGCGCGTAGATGTTCTCCGCCGCCCAGATCCGCTTCTGGAAGCCGTAGACGATCTCGCGGACCTTGGCGACGTCGTCCACGACGGATACTACCTCGCCGGTCGCCGGGTCCCGGGTGGTCAGCTTGAAGACGCAGCAGCCGTGGACCTGGAGGAAGGGGCGGTCGGGGTTGAGGGGATTGCGCCAGACCATCTGAGGGTTTTGTTAGGACCAATACGGAGAGAAGGATCCGGGACAGGTGGCACTTACGGGATGCTCGGCCACGTTTTCCCAAGACAACTCGGAGAGCTGCTCGATGGGCACTTCTTTGCCCATTGTGGGGATTGACAGGCCGTCTTCCGTTGCCTTGCATTGTCTGATGTATTCATAGGCCTGAGGAGCGTATGTTACCGTCGTGTTGAGAGCGAATTCTTGCTCGGCTGGGGTGAGCAATTGGAACGCTCGCGCGCCGGAGAAAACTTATGGAAAAGGTCAGTCAGACGTTTTCAACATACGAAAATTGAGTTAGCCATGACTTACAAGCTGTAGCTCCAGCGGCGATACTCTTTTCTTTGCCATCTGGGAACTTGAGTTTCTGATCAGGCAAGTTCGGCACCTTCACTGCGTGGAGGACCGTGACCTCGCCGGGCAGACGCTGATAGAAGGGAGTGTCCATGTGCCAGCGGTACGGACGGGTGTATCCATCGCTCAGCTCCTGCTCTGACAGAGGCTTCTCGTGGAACAAAGTGTGGTCCTAGTTTGGTTTTGTTAATTCAAATGGTTTATAGCATTAACTGGGCTGGGGGCATACTAGGTGAATAACCTCCAACTCGTCAACTCCTTCGTAGTTCTGGAACTTGCCGCTCCCAATAATGCCGACCTGCGGCGCTCTGGGAATTCTCCCTGCCTTGTATGCTGAGAGAATATTCCTCGGGTCACTGACGGCCTTCTCGCCAGCGGAGTGGATATCAGTTGCAGTCGGATCGAAGATCTTGGTCAACTTGGGCAGAGTCTCCGGCGCGACGCCCTTCTGGTTCTTGATAACGACGACTTGGTTTTCGAACAGGGCTTTCCTGAAGTTGGCAATGTCTTCCTCTGACAAGGCGTCTGTGTCCAGGACGTTCATTGATGATGGCAGGTGGACTTCGGCGCCAATGAGGGAAGCCTCGCGAAGAGAGGTCGGGAGCTCTGTAAAAGAGAGGCCCTGGGATGAAGGCTTGAGACTGCCCATTGTGAAGTTTTATATTGAAGCAACAAGGTCAAATTGGCTGGATGGTTGAGTTGATGAGCCTTGTGCTACCTTGGGTGGTTGCATGAACTTATAGCCAACGGCTCTCGCCCTGACATTGACAACATTAACCGTGGTCCATATTCGGAGCGGGTGAGCTGGACTCACTCGTCCGCACCACGAGGTTTGTGCTTCTCCTGTCGTGCAACACGCAGTGACGCATAGTAATCGTATTGTCGCCGTTCCTGATTGGGCAAGTGACGAGGGGCATGCGGGCGAGTTCTGCATCTCGCCCGCACTCCAAAGAAACAGCCGAAACACAGTTCCCGTCGATTATCTCCGGGCGGACAGAGGTGCGGGCCAGCTGGTGCAACTCACCCGCACTACCCAGATGCACCTCACTGCATGAACGTTTGCGCCCGGATATATATACAGCAATAAAACCCAAACGATTTACGAAGTGGCCATTCTCACTCTTTCGATTACAAACTCTTTACTCTCATCTCTTTACATCATGGCAGCCGTCGAGTACCAGGTCTCAGCGCTTCCAAAGCCGTTTGAGCAATCCGCAGTCGATTTCGGCGCCGAGCTTTCTGGGATTGACCTTGAACACATTGACGGTAACACACCCAGCCAGAAAGTTCAACATCCAAGCTAATTATAACAAAACGTAGATGAAAGCTTCAAAGTCATCAGAGAAGCCCTCTACACCAATAACGTCGTTCTGATCAAAAACCAGCACAACCTCTCCCCAAAAGCCCAATGCGAACTCACCCGCCGCTTCGACCCGGACGCCAGCACCTACAGCCACGGCGCCCGCATCGACAAGCGCAGCGTCCTGCACAAAGACCTCACAACGCTGCCCTCCCAGCCGCAGGTGCAGGTCATCGGCCACGGCGCCGTCGCGGAGTTCGAGGGGCTCACGGACCTGAAGCTCACCCACCCGCACCACAGGACGTTCCACAAGCACCCCGTGCCGGAGGCTGAGGACCATGACTTTACGCACTTTTACAGGTGGCACATCGACTCCGCCATGTATGATTTGGACCCGCCGCTCGTGACGTCGCTTTTTGCGTGTAAGGTGCCCAAGGGGCGGCGGCAGATCTGTCGGTACGACGACGGGACCGGGGACGAGCTCGAGGTGCCTTTGGGAACGACGGCTTTCATCAGTGGATACCGCATGTTTGAGTTGCTGTCGGAGGAGGATAAGGAATTAGTCAAGACCAGCTTCGTCGAGTATGGGCCGCATCCTTACATCTGGATGAGCAAGGCCAAGGCGAGGTCAAATGGGCTCGGCCTCTTTTCGGAAGGCCTGGAGCTGCCCGAAGACCAGCTACCTGAGATTGACCAGGAGAAGATTCGGAAGTATCCGATGGCGTGGAAGAACCCGGTGATAGGGAAATATGCCATGATGGTATACCCGACGCCTGCGCGAAGGATCCATCTCAAAGACGGGACAGTCATGGAGGACTTGAAAGAGGTGCGAGAGTTGATTTACAGGCTGCAGAGACCAGCTATCAGCCCGCAGTATGTGTATCCGCATGATTGGGAGGAGGGCGATCTCGTTCTCTTCAACAACCACGGTGTCATGCATTCCATTGTTGGAGCTTTTGCGGAGAACGAGGTCCGTCTCTTTAGACAGTGTAATATGGCGGCTAGTAGGCCACCTCAAGGACCAGATTGCTAGGAAATTAATTGACGAGAATTGCATTCCAAATCTCTACGCATTCTGAGGCTGTTCTTTCAAGGTTCTTCTGTATGTAGTTTAATGGTTGAAATTTCAACATTGTCCTACGAACGTGGTATCTTCGAATTCTTCCCTGGCCCTGTCAAAGGTTCTCACCATGGTTCCCGTTATCAGCTAGTACGCCCTTGTCCAGAAATAGGCGTTACCAATTTCCAATTTCCCTTTGCCATTCAGAGATTATTTACGCTTCGACCAACGGAGCATTTGTCCGCTCCGTGCCGGCAGTGGCTCAGAGGTTGGCCGCCTCGACTCCCAGGCCAAACCCTGTTTCAGACGTCAACTCCAACATCCTCTCCGCAACCCAGCGCCCGTTATGAGGACCCGCAAAGCATGACGTGCGGACCAGCACCATGGGCCAGAACATCGTCATCGTGCGGTACGGAAGTCCGTCCGCTGGCGCTTCCTTTCCGTCCAGTCCGAACACTGCGCGGATGTCGTCGAGGACCTCTTCAACGACCGCGACACCGTCCGACCAGCTCGGCATTTTCCCGACCTCCGCATCGATCTTGACCGGGGCCTCCTTCAAAATGCCTTTTAAATCAAGGATTCTTTCCAACATGAAGATTTTCAGGCATCGGTAGTGACTCCGTGCAAGTGCGACTGAAACATCGCTTGATAGGGTGAAGAGGCCGTTGAAAACCCGCTGTGGTTGTCCTGAAAATGAAGAGGCACCCGAAAAGCCGAGCAGAGTGACGGCAGCCTCGAGGTCGTTACTTAGACTGATGCCGCTTTTCACCAGTTCCGTCAAGTCCTCAGCTGGCTCGGCAGTGAGTTTTGACACATCCCCTTGCACCTGCATTTTAAAGTCGAACGCCTTCTTGAAGTCAACCACCTGGCGAACAAGAGGCTCTAGAACAGGGCCCTTGCCCCATGGCGTGTCGACTTCTTCCAGCACTGACCAGATCCCCGTGAGGTGCTCTCGTTGAATAAACATTTCCATTAACTGTCTCAATGTTAGTGGGTGACTTCCCGGCCAAGGGGCGCCGTCTTACAGCAGCATGACAGAAGAACATAAAGCAGCCTCTGTCAACTTCATTTGTGAGTCCCTGCTCAGCACGGAACTTGAACAGTTGCAAGCCCCCGGTGCCATGCGGGAAGACATTGTTCTCGAGATCAATGGCTTTTGTGCTTCGTTTGCCGACAATAACCTATGTTTTCTTAGCTGTGAAGATTCCCAAAAACGTATCGTAGGTTTGTTCTCAATGGGCTTGCAAACAGCTACCCGCTTTTAAAGAGAATGCCCCAGCTTACCTCAAACATCCCGAAAAGAAACATTGTTACCAGGTTTCCATCATCCCGAGCTCTCACAGGATCCCTTAATGCCTGGTTCAATGTCCCTATCGCTTTTCCATAATGTTGCCGCGCTTCCAGCATCAGGCCAGGCTGATGCAGCTGGCGTGCGGCGCTAGCTAGTGCCACGGCATGTGTGGCATGTCGGGTATGGCTGGCCTCGGAGAGGTCGCTCTTGTAGTGGTCGGGGAGCTGGTTGAAGAAGACGATGCTGGCGGTCGTCGCGTAGTTCGCGTAGAACCGGCTCAGCGTGTATACTTCGGGGCCGATCTGGATCGTTTGGGGTAGAACAACTTCCGGCTCTGATTCATCGTCTGGCGTGATCAGCCCGTGCTGCTGCCGGACGAGCGCAAGCGGTGTATTAGTCGGCGTTCCGCATCTGGGGCTACCGCCGCCGATTCGCGGTATTGCGGGGGTCTGCTGGCGATGCTTCCACCTCGAGGCCCATGATGTCGGGTATCCAGGCGACTTTCGGTGTTGAGAGACGGAAAACAACGCGCGTCGCGACTTTTGCGTGTCACGCTGTTGTAACTTGGTCAGTAACATGTACCCCAAAAGGGGGGAAACAAAGAAAGACTGCATACCTTTCCACGCTTCTCATCAGCTCGCGCCTGGCCTTGAACTGGCCCGGCCAGACTGGCCATAACGGCTAGGTCGTGTCAATACTGCGAAGATACGAGGCCGACATTCGAGCGACGCTACACTCATCACCCTCCTCTGCAGACATCAACTTCATTGACAAGAGGCAGCTCCGAGAGCTATGTATTGTAGGAGCATGCCCCTTCCCCAATGGCAGAAACTTGGAGAATGGCTACTGGTGCATGGGCTAATCCCAGTTCAGGATCCTCGAAGCTCCCCCAAGACGGCATGTTCCATGTTGTGCGCGACGAGCTAATCTAGGGATAATAGGCGCATGCGGCAACCCCACGGCAAGGCGAGGCAAAGGGAACCTCGGTGCTCGAAAGCTAGGACAAAGCTTAAATGACCGAACGTCCTTCCGGTGGCGGCAGAGAGTGAGACGTCACTTGGACCTTTTGGACAGCGACCGCTCGAACTCTAAAACGCGAGCACTGTCGTCGGCGCAGGCGGTCGTCTATGTAGTGCGGCATATGTCTGTGGAGCGCGCGCGTATTCGGTCCCAGCTACAGCGAGATTGGTGAAATTATTTCCATATATTTTCGTCTACTCAATATTCTTGGGGACATGATTCTACGAGAGACATACGTCACACACGGAACATCCCCCAGGGCTGAGACCTACACAAATCGTTTAAGCTACTAGCTAACATGAAGACTATTCGTCCCGGTTCATCGACAAGCCAAACGCAACAACTGGAAGCGCCCAAACTAGTCCGAAGACGAGCGACGTTCGCGCTGAGTTTGCGATTGAAACTCGCGGCCCAGACTCGGACATGAGGCTTAACTCGCACAGACGACACCATAAATTCTGCCCGTCCTTTCAGGGTTCGAGCATGTTGCGCCCATCACATTTCTGCTCCCCCTCTTGGCCCGTGTTCTCCGGCACTCACTGCATGGCGCTGGACCCTGAAGATCTACCGCCAACCCACGCAGCTGCTGCATGGCCCCCAACAATGCCTGCCTTCGGCCGTTGGATGTCTGCGTGGCCACTGGCAAGACGGACATGAACCCCGACCCCGCGTCCAGTGTCGTCGGTTGCCACGGAGGAGGGGCCAGGGGGGCGTGCGGACCGCCGCAGCACGGAACGGTTTATGTCTTGTCTTCAGTTGACTGTGATAGCAGGTCTTGGCAGACACACAACCCGCTCCTGTCGTTGGGCGGGTAGGGCTATCTATGCTTTGGATCACACTAATCGCCAACCTTTTGATATCATATGACCCGGGAAGCCTAGATGCGCCCCAATGCATGGGATAATTCAGGATAGAGGATGAAGGTTAGGCAGGTAGCTTACATCCAGCCCCGACACATGCTAAATTCATGGATGAACA